GGGGGCATGAGATGCTAAGTCAAGGGATAATAAAAAGGGAACCTGGGGTAATGATTGAGTTGATATGCAAATAAAAGACTGAGCTTTTAATAAGAGATGAGCTATCCAGAGTTATTAGAATTGCAAAAAAGCCGAAGCAGAAAGCTGTCTAGAGACAGACAGACAGACAGAGTGAACAAAACACAGACAACAATCCAGAAAGCTATCTGGAGCAAATACAGGCTGTCAGCTTGGACCCACAATTTGACTTCAGGTCTTTTGTTTTGTCGTTCTCAAACATACCCTTCCTCTCTTTAAGTCAAGACTGGTCCTTGGCACTAGGGGAGGGTTTTGGCCTTTGGAATATTTGTTTCTAGAAAGCAGGCAAAATTTCTCCAGATTTGCAAAATCAAGATGTCTCCATGGCACCAGGTGCCATCTTCCTTTGAAATGTGTATATATAATGAAACCTCTTTGGGACAGAGTTGTGTGTCCTCTCAAAAATCCATAAACTGAAGTCCAAACCCCTAATATCCTTGCATTTAGAGATAAGGCTTTTAAGAAGCTAAGTTTAAGGGATAGGAATAAGGATGAACCTTGACCACAGAACCAATCCAAGAGGATTTTTTGTTTGTTTGGTTTTTTGTTTTTTGTTTTGTTTTGTTTTTCAAGACAGGGTTTCTCTGTATAGCCCTGGCTATCCTGGAACTCACTCTGTAGACCAGGCTGGCCTCAAACTCAGAAATCTGCCTGCCTCTGCCTCCCAAGTACTGGGACTAAAGGCATGCACCACCACTGCCCGGCTAAAGGTTTATTTATTTATTTTATGTATATGAGCACACTGTTGCTGACACACCAGAAGAGGGCATCAGATCCCAATACAGATGGTTATGAGCCACCATGTGGTTGCTGGGAATTGAACTCATGACCTCTGGAAGAGTAGCCTGTGCTCCAAGAGGAAGAAAAACCAGGATCACTGCATACAGCCGAAGATGGTTGTGTGAAGACACACTGGGAGAGTGAGTGACTTACAACTACTCTCAACTAAGTAAGACCTCAGGAGAGCTCTTACTTAATTGCCAACACCTTTATCTTGGGTTTTCAGCCTCTGAAATGAAAGAAAACAAACTTCTCTCAAGCTACCCAGTCTTGGTACTTTGAAGTCTCTCGTAGTTTGAATATCCCTTTTAGGCTGTTTCTAAGCTGGCTCCCTGCTTGGGGTGCCATTTTGCATGTCATGGAAGCTTTAAGAGGTAAAACTTGTCTGGTCAAAGTGAATCACTAAGGTTTGAGAGTTTTACTGATCCTGGTCCAGACCCTTCATGCCCTTTCTGCTTCCTGTCTGCTGCTGGGCGAACAAGGAACCATAGGTTCTACAGCAGGGCTAAGGCATCCTGCCATGTAGCCCAACTCTGAGGGACTAATATTTTTCAAAAACAGTAAAGCAAATCAACCCTCTCCTCCCATGGACTTTTGCCAGGAAATGTCTCACAGTGATGGCAGAACACTTCAGCTTCCTAGAGAAATAACACATTCTGCATAGTTTCTCATACTTCCTGAGATGATCTAGTTTCCAAGGCTTCTCTTTCAGCACAGGTTCCACTGTGCTGAAAGTCTCCCTCTCCCTCCTGAGTGCTGGGATTAAAACATATACCACCATGCTCAGCTCCTTCCCTTTCTCTTCTTTTGAGACAGGATGGCATAAAGCCCATATATTCACCATATATATTGATGAATTTCATAGAGACATTGTGTAAAAAAAAAAAGTATCTGGATTAGTGGTGCACAGTTTTAATCTCAGCACACAAAGGTAGTGAGTTTGAGACTAGTCTGGTTTACAGAGAGTGTTCCAGGCAAGTCAGAGCTATACAGTGAAGCCCTGTATCAAAGCCTTTATAGCACGTAGAACATGTAGCATGCTGGAAACTGTTTTGTACTTGTTTCTAATTCCCCTGGCCTAGCAACTGAACCTTATTCTCTACAAATGAAAGCGTGCACGTGCATGTGTGTGTGTGTGTGTGTGTGTGTTTAATAAGGTCTATTTATTTTATGTATATGAGTACTCTGTAGCTGTCTTCAGACACACCAAAAGAGGGCAACAGATCCCATTACAGATGGTTATGAGCCACCATGTGATTGCTGGGAATTGAACTCAGGACATCTAGAAGAGCAGTGAGTGCCCTTAAACACTGAGCCATCTCTCTAGCCCATAGTGTGTTTTAAGAAACAAATACTGCTCCTGATTTGGCATAAAGTAATCATAGAAAATTTTTAACTAATAAAATGATTGAGATTAAGAAGAAAAAAAGATTAAGAAATAATCTCCCGCCAAGCAGTGGTGGTGCACACCTTTAATCCCAGCACTTCGGAGGCAGAGGCAGGCGTATTTCTGAGTTCGAGGCCAGCCTGGTCTGCAGAGTGAGTTCCAGGACAGCCAGGGCTACACAGAGAAACCCTGTCTCGAAAAACCAAAAAAAAAGAAAAGAAATAATCTCCCACAGAGTGATTTAATTTGTCAAAGGCAGAAAAAACCCTCTCTTTATAAAACAACAGCTTTGTGATTTACAGTGTTACTCATTTAAATTTTATTTAATTGTAAGTTTACATTTTCTTCTCATGGTAATTAAAAAAAACTACAATAAGAATGACATTAAATTTTTATTTTTACAACTCAGCCATAATCACATACACACCACAAACTTGATCCCCTCATTAGTTGTCTGTGTGCCATGATGCACTTGTGACAAAATCATATGTAAACCTAGGGCAAGAGTTAACAAGAAATCAAAATAGCTTCCCCAAAATGGAGGGAGAGATAGGGAAATCAATAAATTAAAAACCATAGCTCTCATTTTATAAAAAAATAGTTTGGATAATCTTTTTATAAATCTTTCATGCTTACAAAAGCAAAAAGTACATTTAAAATAGTTATTTTTAACAGATTCATTTGTACAATGTGGTTACAGTCAGGAAAACAACTCAATATTTTAGTAGTCTACATTTTCTTTGCATCAAATTCCACATAAATTTTTACAAATTTACAAGTCAACATGAGAATTAACTTCCAAAAAGGTTAAACTAACTAGTTAGTACCTGAATGTTAAGCTTTGCCCAACTTGATACACTGTACCAAAATGTTAAATACAACTCAATGGCAGGCACTAACAACAATACTTTACAGCATGGTGACCATCCATGACTATTCCATTGCAGCTTAAAATATGCTTTGGTCAGTAAATTAACAGAAATCAAGTAATACAACCATAAGGGTTGTTTCCTAGCCTTAAGTAAACTTTAAATACATTGATAAGGCAAGGAAAAATATAATCCAACATACATAGAAATCTGTATTTTTCTACTATTTGGCATTTTAAATTAAAAATTTCCTAAAAGGATATTTTACACTCCTACATACTGATTATCATAGCTTTCTCAGTAAAACTAAGCTAAAGTTACCTTCTAGAATGTCCAGTAATGTTGGCATCAGTTGCTTCTTTTGCACTTCCATGAGGATGGTCCTTCATCCTGTAACTTTTTAAATTTTGGACCAAGAAAGAACCACCAACCAAATCCAATGAAAACACAGATAATGGATTCCACATAATAACCATCCAGAGCTGTAACGCACGAGCCGCCAAGTTTTTTGCAAAGCTATAAAAATAAAATTATAACAAATATTCTATAACTGCTTTTTCCTTATTGCTTGCTTTATATAAACAGAGTCTCAGATGGCCTAAGCTAGCTTCAAACTCTGTATCTAAGGATAACCCTGAACTCCTGAATCTCTTTCTTCCACCTCTCAAGTGATGGGATTATAGGCATATATCACAAAGCTTGGTTGGAAGTGTAAATCCCAGAGTTCTGTACATGCTAGGTGAGCATTATGCCACTTGAGTTATATTCAGGGCCCATATTCTGTGATTTTTTTTTTATACAGAAACATTCAATAATTAATGTTTCTACTTTGTAATTAAGGAGATTAATCAAGTACATTTTGAGAAAATATTTTAGTATTTCATTTATTTCAAATGGTAAGATATATTGAAGTCTGTTTCACTTTCATTGGTTTCAGACAAGGTCTTGCTATGTGGCTCAGGCTTTTCTGAAAAACATACTGGCCTCAAATCAACAATTTTCCTGCCTCAGGCTCCTAAGTGCTGGGATTATAATCATATTATCACTCTCTGAGTATGTTCATGAAACTTAATTTCTTCAGTCCTAAAAACAGATTAAAATTAAAAACAATTTTGAGCACTTACTGCAAATAACAGTGATTTTCAAAATGGACTTATTCATATTTGAAACTGTGAAGAAATTTCTAATGAATTTATTATAAAAGTAGGCAAAATTGTTTGGTTGTTCTGAGAAAGGGTCTCACTGTGTAGACTGGCTAGTCTAGCACTCCTTATGTAGACCAGGTTGGCCTGGAACTCATGGAGACCAGCCTCCCTCTGCCTCAGCATATGTGGCCCAAGAGTAATATTACTTTGAAGTAATTTGCCAATGAATCATTCTGTATTTAGCTTTAGCTACAGTTACTGTGTTTAAGAAGCCAGTGGCGTCCTTTTCTTAGCACTGCAAAAGTCAGCTATTATTTTTACATTTATACACAATTCAGTGACTTTCGGTATGGGAGAATGTCTTCCTTTGCTGAGAAGCACCTTTACTAAGCTAGTCTCACAGATACTAATTTTTAGTTACTCTTAATTATAATAGAGATAAAATGCATACATTTCCATACTAGAAACTATGAGTATATGTGATTTTTTTAGACATAATAATCATATCTCAAAACTTATTCATGGTTATCTAAAACTAAAACTCACTTACCTCAATAGCATCAGGTGTTCGACAATTCTGGTTTGAAGCTCCTACACACTCCTTCACTGTGAGGGGATCCACTAGCCAAAGAGCCACTGTAGAAGGCCAGTTTCCTCCCAGATTAGACACAGTATTTAAAAGAGTCATGTATGTTCCTCCAATAAGTGGATCACTGACCTTGGCATTGAAAGCCATTATTGACACATACATGCTGTACAGAGTGACCTGCGAAAAGAAGCGAACATTAGAAAGTTGGAAGGAGATTTTCTTTTCTTCTCTCTCTCTCTCTCTCTCTTTTTTGGTGGGAAGAGTACTCAGGATTAAGCAGGGGGGCAAGGGGATTGGGTGGGGGGTGGCACACCAAACAGGAAGCATAAACTGGAGAGCCCTGTTTTCTAACTTCTAGGACCAGACTTATAAAATTGTTCTTAAATTAGAACATCAAAATCATAAAAATTAAATTTTCATAATTTTTACTGAACTCAATCCAAAAAACATTTGAGTACATACTATAAGCAATACTTTAAGAACATGACAATATAAGAATGAATTTTTGAAAAATACTGCTATCCTCTTCAATGTAGGATGTGCTGGAGAAACTAGGAATAAAAAACTAAGATGAAATATACTAGAAGTGCACACACTGCACTCCTAGGACAAAGGTAAATGACTCATTCTACCATATACAGTCAAGTAAGAGGCAAGGGGCACTGAAGGGAGCACATAGTAAAAAGTAAAATTCCTATGTGTTCTGTACCTAAATATCTGTTTATATATACATTTATACATCTTCATTATAGATGTAAACACAATAAACATGGATATATATAGTTATATTTCTAAAAACAGTGATAAATTATATTGAAAAATATCATTTCAAAATTTATAACACAAACTAGAGAGAAAAAGAAACCTTGGGAGATAAAAATTGAGAGACAGGAACGGAGACAGATATCTTTAATCCTAGTACCTGGAAGAGAGAGGCAGGAGGATTTCATATTTAAGACTGGTCTGGAACACTGTCTCAAAAATAATCAAAAAAGGGACAAAAATCTATTATCCCTTCATTAGAAAGATAGAAATTATTTCCATGATGATATCCCTCTTAGCAGTGTTTTATGAGGTGTTTACAAAAAAGGAATTCCAAAGTGAATGCAGAGACAGGACGGAGCAGCTCAGTGCTGGAGTAAAGTCACATTAGACTGAAGACATTAAAGTCCACAAAACTGAACAAGTGCCTTTCATGATAAGTTGTCTGATAACTTTAATACATAAATTCCCCAAGTGGCAACGATTTTGGCCTGACCTACTCAGTTACACTCAGCACTCAGGACAGCTGCTTCCATGAAAGACATCAGAAGTGATGACTCTGCTGCCACGCGTCATATGTCATGAGTCATTCCTCATGTCTACAAGCCCTTGAACCCTTTTCTCCTTAAAGCTTGTGTGATTGCCTAAGCTTCTCTGACTACACTTTGAAAAGTTCTCCAAGAAAAGCAAAAGCAGGGGCTGGAGAGATGGCTCAGTGGTTAAGAGCACTGACTGCTCTTCCAGAGGTCCTGAGTTCAAATCTCAGCAACCACATGGTGGCTCACAACCATCTGTAATGAGATTTGATGCCCTCTTCTGGTGTGTCTGAAGACAGCTACAGTGTACTCATATAAATAAAAAAAAAAAATCTTAAAAAAAAAAAAAAAAAAAAAAGAAAAGCAAAAGCTAAAGAGATAAGCCTTTGGACTATAACATAGTCCATACATTTCTTTCCTTGGGTAGACAATGAGGCAGTGTCTGAACCAAATACTCTTTTTTAATTTCTATTCTGTGCCTAGCATTAACTTTGCAAAGAACACAAAGGAAACTGTATTTGACATACTGGCCTTAATAATTTTACAAACATGGTTGGTTACATATGATCCACCAAGGAATTCTCTTTTATTGACTGTTTCTGTTTGTTGTCTTTTGTTTTTTGAGACGGAGTCTTATGTAGCCCAGGTTAGCCTTCAATTCACTATTCAGCTAAGACTGCCCTTGAACTCCAGATCTTCCTGCCTCCACCTCTAAAATGTTGGGATTACACATGTGGTATTACCATACCTGGATTCTAAATTATTTAATTGTGTGGGGGAAAACAAACTGTTGAGATTGTTTAAGGTTTCAGCCAAAAACCAAGAAGTTAATATATATCTTACTTTCAAAAGATTTAGAGTAGGTTTTATTAAAAAAATTCAGTGACTCTTTAATATATATTAGCAATATTACAGTTGAACACCAAAACTTACTGCTCGGCCTCTGCCATTTACTTGAGTCACTTATATTTAGACTCTAACCCCTCTTCTGAAACAGCAACTTAAGTGAGGTTAAAGCAGAGTGGAGATCCCTTCCTTTGTGGACTGCAAGCATATATAAGACAAGGCAGTTTATCATATACTGCCAAAAAAATTTCACACTAAGTTTTTTTAATACACCTAAGTCAAAGACTACAACCTTAAATCCAGTATCCATCTCTCTATCTTAAGAAAATCCAATAAAAATTAAAGAAAGAAAGAATCTAGATCTGAGCCATGTATAGTTGCTTACACCTATTATTCCAGCATTTGGAAGACTGACATGAGGCAGGAAAATGAATGTGAGTTCTAGTTTCAGGCCCATGTAAGCTACATAGTGAGTTCAAACCTAAGCTGGTTATATGGGCAGAACCTGTCTCAAAAACAAAAATAAACAAAAACTCTTCCCCCTATATCTGAGAACAGACCAAGGTATACTTAGAAGGAGTAAACTTAGATGGACTAGGTTTTTAAGTATAATAAATTCTTAATACATGAACAATTTAAAGAAACATTAGTGGATAATCTCCCTCTTCATGACTAAACCTCACAAAGTTGAAAGATATTTGACAAGCTCACCATCAAATTACTTTATTAAAGTAGCTGTGAAAATGTTTCTTCAGGGACTAGAAGATAGTTCGGTATGTAAGAAAGCTTGTTCTACTCAAGATCATGGGGTCTTAAGTTCACATCCTCACCCATGAGTGAGTGAGTGGGTGCCTGTAACTCCAGCTTTTGGAGCAGAAACAGACAGATCACCAAAGAGCCTGCCAGATTAGTGAAAATGGCAAGCTTCCTTGTTTACTGAGAAACCCTGTTTCAAGGCAGTAAGAAGATCGATCAGAGTAAGACAGCCAACATCCTTCTCTGGCCTTTACACTGGTGCCAACATACTTACATAATCATGTGCATATCATGCACACACAGACACGCCTTTAGTTCAAGCAGCACTTTACCTCAGCTTACCTGATGTAATGCATAACTCAGCAGCACTATAATATAGTAATATATAGGGAATCCTCCTTGATGCTCTACTTTAGGAGTCCACCAAACAAGTACGGCATATTCTAATCCAAGCAACAATCTACAAAAAGAGAAACACTGAGTTGACATCCACTTTAGGTTAAAGAATAACTTGTACTAAAAATGGCTAGACCCAGGCATGGTGTCACATGTCTTCTTCAATCTCAGACTCAGGAGGCAGAGGCAAATGAATCTCAGAGGCCAGCCTGGTCTACACAGTAAGTTCCAGAACAACCAAAACTATATTCTGAGACACTGCTTCAAAACGACAAAAACAAAACAAAAATACTGTCGTCCCCCCCCCGACACCCTGCCAACAAAAGGCTGTGCTAGAAGACTAAAAGGAGAAAAAGTTTCATTTCATCCCAGTTTCACCTACACCCTCTACCCTGATGTGTACTATGCTGAAGTCAACTTGTTAGTTAGCAGGCTCTGTAGTTACCTATAGGGCATGGCTTTGTAAAATATATTCAGAGGCTGGGGACCTGCAGTGTACTTGCTGATGAGGAGTGGCAGGAGTATCTGCAGAGGGACCATTGGCACAGCTAGTAAGGCCAGGTGCTCTTTAGGCACTCCCTCTTCTACCAGTTTCAGGCCTGTCACGGCATCCGCTGCTGAAAAGCCAATCTGCAACATAAAACAGAAGTGGCTGAGCTTCTGACACATGAGTCGCCTTGTCAGAAACACATACAAGTCCTAGAAACCTTCAATTTCATCACTGATCCTTGTCAGTCACAAGTGCATAGCTGCCAAGTTATAGAAAGTATGTTTTCCATTATGGTTTACTAACATTGTGCATTGAAAACAATAGAAAATGCAATATTGGTATAACTGTAGATAGTTTTAATTATGACTAAATTTTCACTTTGAAAAAGTTAAATCCAGGCTTTAATTTCAGTGTTTAGGAGGTGGTAGCAGCTGTGAGTTCTAAGCCACCTGAACTATATAGTGAGTAGGCTGGGCTACACTGTGAGACCCTGTCTGAAAAAAGCAAACAAAACAAAACAAGTGGCATGCCTTTAATCCCAGCATTTAGGAGGCAGAGGCAGGCACTTCTCTGTAAATTCAAGGTCAGCCTGGTCTACATAATGAGTTCTAGAATAGCCAGGGCCCTGTTTTCAAACAAACTAACAAACAAATAAACCAAAACCAATAAACATCAGTTCAATCTATTACAAGTTAAAAAATTTACTTATTGCTTTGTGTATCATACATTTATTAGTCTCTGGTTAATTATAAATAAATTTGATTCAAATGAAGAATCACTGTCACATTTTTTGTTTGTTTGTTTGTTTTTTGAGACAGGGTTTCTCTGTGTAGCCCTGGCTGCCCTGTAACTCACCCTGTAGACTGGGCTGGCCTCAAACTCAGAAATCCACCTGCCTCTCTCTGTCTCCCAAGTGCTGGGATTAAAGGTGTGTGCCACCACTGCCTGGCAGCCACATATTTTTTGATGATATTTTATAAATTAGAATAAAAATTTCTAAATATATCTAACATTTCAAAACCAATTTTAAGATAACAACATATCAGAAAGGTGGTGCATGCCTTTCAGGCCCAGTACTCAGGAGGCAGAGGCAGGTGAATCTCTGAGTTTGTGGCTAGCTTGGTCTATACAGCCAGGGCTACAAAGAGAAACCCCAGCTTGAAGAAAAAAAAAAGGCAGAAAAACAAAAATTATAATTAGATTAATTTGTAAAAATATCAATAAAGAGTAAGGATGATAAAAGCAGTATGCAATCTGAGATCAGACAGTCTTAAGGATCTCTTTGGTTTAAAAAAAAAAAACCCACTAAGTTCCCAAAGTAACAAAGTAACCAAAGAACAGAAAACAGTAGGGAATAACACCATTGTGTGGATCCCATGTCATTCCCTGAAGACAATGAAATATTACTTCTGTGATATTCCTACCAATCTGTATAAACTGAATATAACATAAATTGAAATGTAAACAGAAGGTCAATTCTAGAGAAACCTAGTCTTTAGGATTTTTTGGTGGTGTTTTGGTTTTATTTGGCTTGTTTTTAAACAGAGTCTCTCTTGTAGTACAGGCTGACCTGGAACTGTGTAACCCAGGATGGCCTAGTAAATATGGAACTCAAAGCAATCTTTCTGCCTCAACCTCCTGGATGCTGAGATTAGACATGTAGCCACCATGCCTCCCTCTAAACAGATCTGTATTCTTAGAAACAATCAAACAATCAAACAAATATCAAAGTTATAGTCAAACTTTACAGCATGCTGAAGAGGACCCTGAATTGGATCACACTCAGGAAGCATGAAATGAGAAAAAACCTTTCCTGAACAATGGGTAAAACTAAGATATAAACTATGGTTAGTGTGGTGGTTTGAATGAACATGCCCTCACAGGCTCTTAAGGACTGCCACTTTGTAGGAGTAGGTGGCCTTTTTGGAGGACTGTGCCACTGGGGGTAGGCTTTGAGGTTTCAAATGCTCAAGTGTAATCATGGTGTATTTTGTGAAATTCCTAATAATCAATAAAAATATGCTTTAAAAAAGAAGGAACTACTCAGACTGTTACAGGTAGAAGCAGAGAGACAGGTCTTTATGGCTCCACCTCGCTGTCCTAACAGAGTCAAACAAACAAACAAACAAACAAAGAAAAAACAAAAATCTACCTAGAAGTATATACTAAGTAATTCTTATTATCTGATTATTTAGTTTCTCATTATTTACCCATCAGTAATAAGTATATATCTTCACAAAAAAAATCACCTTCATGAATATTTATAGGAATACTATATATAATAGACCACAATAATCTAAATAACCCTGAAAAATAATATTGGCATATTCATAAAATGAAATTTAGAGTAATGAGATGAACAAACAGTCACTATAAATAACATCATAAATTAGACAGGGAAGAAAGCACAGCCCTAACACTTGGGAGATGGAGGTTAGGAGCTCAAGAGTTCAGAATTAAGCTTGTGAAAAGGCTGACTGCTAAGAGCCCTGGCTTCTCTTCCAGGATTCAGTTCCCAGCACCCACATGGCAACTCACGATCATCTGTCACTTCAGCTCCAAAGGATCCAACATCCTCTTCATGACTCCACAAGTGTGGCATACAAGTGGTACACAGGTATGCATGAAGGCAACACACACACACACACACACACACACACACAAAATAAAAATAAGTAAATCTTTTAAAAAATAGTCAATGTCATCAGCAGCTACATACTAGGTTCAAAGACAGCCCCTGAGCTACATGATATTGTCTCCTAAAACCCCACAGCAGCTTGTTGTAGTGGCACATACCTTTAGTCCTAGCACTGGGAGGCAGAGGCAGCTGGATCTCTGTGAGTTTGAGGCCAACCTGGTCTTCAGAGTGAGTACCAGGACAGGATAACTAGGGCTACAAAATTAGGCTCTATCTCAAAAAAAAAAAAAGACAAACATACGTACTATTGCTATTAATGTAATAGTACTTAATGTAACATAATTAAAATATTGAATGATGCAATAATTGTTTGGAGTTAAGACAAAATAACTATAAAATTACGTATAGTATAATTCAATTCCACTTTTAAACTTTACATTAAACATATATGAAACATGTATATACAGATACATGCATAAATATAACAGAGAAAAGGAAGGAGCAAGGAGCTCGAAAAGAATAAACCTTCAAAAGTAGAGAAGCAGCAAGATCTCTCTGAGTTCAAGGCCAGCCTAGTCTATATGTTGAGTTCTAGATAAGCAAAGAGCTTGTCTAGTTTAGATGGGGAGACTGTATCGAAAAGATAATACAAAAAAAAGAAACGTGCTAAAAAATGTTCATTTCTAAATGATGTGACTGAATATGTTATCTTCCATGAACCTGCCCTCTAACTTTATTTTTCCATTATTAAAGAGGAGACCTTATTAAAATGAAAACAACAAGGCCTGTCATAAGACAGCTGTAGAGTGTTCATATAGATGGATTTCAAAAGAAAACACTGTAAAAGTATAGATGTTGGGAATATAGGCTATAGCCTATTATGACAAAATATACTTGTTTATCTTTCTTCTTGCTTTTTTTGTTTGTTTGTTTTTTCAAGACGGTCTTTCTCTCTGTAGCCTTAGCTGTCCTGGAAATTGCTCTGTAGATGTAGCTGGCCTCAAACTCACAGAGATCTGCCTACCTCTGCCTCCCAAGGAATTAAAGGTGTGTGCTACCACCACCCAGCTAAGCAAAGACATCTTAATGAAGAATATAAGTCACCAGTAATCTCATTTGTCTTATGGTAGATTTCCTTTCAATATTTTAAAATATAATTCAATAGGTTTTTAAATAGTGTAAATACTCATACACCTCTTCATCTTTGTAAGCCACATTCTCAGAGCTAGTATTAAGGGCATGTTCCTTACAACAGCAGAAAGCTTCTTGGTGACCATCTCCTTACAACCATTACTATTCGCAACAGTATCTTCAGATTGACATAACTCTTCAAGATTCCAAGACATAAAGCTTACTTAGAAGTGATATTTGGCATTATCACTTTAGAAATATATTTAGTAGGCAGGAAATATTGCTTTGCATTAAATTCTATGGTATTAGAAAAGGACTTATGAAAAGACATTGAAAGTATTCCGTGATAATGATAAATTTATTTAAAAAATTTCTTACCTTTGAAGTTAGAATCAGAAGGCAAAATGCCAGAACTGCTGGCATTTTTATAATTGAGAACAGCAGCTTGTAAGTGTCTGTGATTCCTTGTGTCTCTTCTTTTACTATTGACGTTTCTCTGTTTTCTTTTTTCAGAAGGGCTACTAATGTTGTTGTTACTAAAAATACGGTTCCCCAGAAAAATAGAAAATCTGAAATTAAGAGTGTTTTAATTTATAATTAATTTTTGAAAATTAACTTTATTGATAATAAAACACGATTTTTCTTAATCTAAGATTTTTATTTTTAAATTTTATGCTATATACTTTAGGTTTGAGGCATAGCAAATGAATGAAACAGTCTTGATTCTGTTAAGCATAGAGACTCAAAATTGACTGATACATATCCTGGGTAGGGTATGGGGGTTAGAGATGTAATTGAATTTGTATGCCCATCTTGTCACCTTATATAGAGAAAGAAGTAGGTAGGGGAAGGAAATGATTTTCATACCTCATAAGGTTCATTAGTTATACTTACACACCCAAGCATTTCTTATGCTCAATTATGACAATTCGGATGATAAAGAATGCATGATTGAACCAAGCATGGTGGTACACACCTGCAACCCCAGTACTCAGGAAACTGAGGGAAGAGTGTTTGAAGCTAGCCTGAGCTACAAAGTTAATTCAAGGCCAGTCTGAAACACAGAGCAAGACTCTGTCTCAAAAAAGAAAAATAGCCAGGCGTGCTGGAACACACCTATAATTCTAGCACGTGGGAGATATAGCCAAAAGGAGCTTCTCTAGACAGTGAGTTTAAAAACAGCTTTGGGTACATGTAGCCCTGTTTTAAAATAAAACTAAATACCCCTTCCCAAATCAATAGCACGGTTATTTGTGTCAGAGTTCTCCCAGTCCCTTGAGTATGTGTGTGAGAGTGCAGATGCAAGTTCACATAGAGGTCAAAGACCAGCTTTGGGATGTCTGCCTCTACTGTGGGTTCTATGAATTGAACTCAGATGGCCAGGCTTGCACGCTAAGTATCCACTAGGCTCTTGCCACCTCAGATAGTTCATTATCTCTTTAAGATTAACCTCCTTGCAGTATCTGTAAATGACAAATGAAGACCAGGTACACTGTATTGTTTCACTGAAGGAGTTTTAACACATGTATGGGTGGAAAAGAATAATGACCTAGAAGAATCTTCATCACAGCTAGAAGGGACAGTAACAGAGCACATATCATACAATATAAATTCGCACAACATTTTTACACATGTCCTCTCTGTAATATATATTATATGATAAACTGTCCCATGCTATTGGAGCTCACTGAGAAACTACCTTTGGAGTTGCCCACTCCCCTTCATTCAGACCCAAACACATTTGTCTCAAAGTGTTCCCAGTACTCACAACCTGATGGCCTGTAACTCCAGCTCCACTGTTGTCTGTGGAGATAAATGTCTGTTGTCTGTCTGTCCAAAGACACTTGTACTTACATGCATATACTCACCCACCCCCACATACATGATTAAAAATAATACAAATGAATCTTAAATTGAGACAAATGATGATTTCTTTTTAGAAAGTTTCACTTATACCAGTATTTTCATTAAGAAAGCCTTTTGTTGGTGGTTTATAAGGGCTAACAACAGAAAGTTCAATTACAAGTCTTCTGGTTAAGAGTTGAATGAACACTAAAGATGCGATGGGTGGTGGTGGTGCACGTCTTTAATCCCAGCACTTGGGAGGCAGAGGCAGGTGGATTTCTGAGTTTGAGAGTTCGAGGCTAGCCTGGTCTACAGAGTGAGTTCCAGGACAGCCAGGGCTACACAGAGAAACCCTGTCTCGAAAAACAAAACCAAAAAAAAAAAAAAGAAAAAGAAGAAAGAAAAAGAAAGCTAAAGATGTACCAGTTATGTTTTAGGAGTTTTCTCTAGGAAAACTGCAAGGAAAAACAATTTGCTTAGGACATCTTAATGATTTTAACGGGAAGAAATCTTCAACTAAAATTTAAATTCCTTTATTCCATTGCCAACAGAAAGATGTTAATAAATTAAACAAGATCCTGCAATATGCACATGTAAAAGTACTTCTGATTTCCTGTCATAATGGGACACTCACAGAACCAGAATTCAGAGTCTCTGCACCTCACATATACAGCAGAGGGAAAAGTCAACAGCTCAGAAAGAAAAGCTCAGTCACTGCTACAAGCATAATCATTAAACACACTGACCATTTGCCTACTGTTATTAACATCACTTCCATAGCATAGGATAACATTCACTATGAATATATGCCATCAGCTTGACAGCATGGCTCTACACTGAGCCAAGACCAAGAGGATGAAGCTCATGTCACACTTTCACAAGCATGAGTTCTAACTACATATTCTGAAGTGCCTACAAAAACTTGCCTAATGTACTCATGAATGCAGAAATTAAAGAGTATGTAGCAATTCACTACTGATGAGTAAAAGTACAAATGCTAGCCAAATGGTGCTGCACAAGTCTTTAAACCTAGCCCTCGGGAGGCAGAGGCAGGCTGGATCTCGAGTTCTAGGCCAGCATGAACTATAGCCAGTATCATGAAAAATAAAAAAGTCCCAAAAAAACAAAAACAAAAACACTGTTTCAGGGACACACACACACACACACACACACACACACACACACACACACACTTCTATAAAGACTAGCACCCGACTGTTCATTATAAATTCAGGAGAAAAGCAGTACAACTCATTTGAAACTCAAGGTCGAGGGCCTTGGTTAAGGTACTTTCTTTATGAGTCTGCCTACCTGAGTTCAACTTCTGGCACCCACATAAAGGTAAAAGAGAACTGACTCTAAAAAGTTGTCTTCTGGTCTCTCCACAGGCACACATAGAGATGCAAATACACAAATAAATATCGATCTTAAACTGTTTTAAAGAACTCATCTTCTGCATTTTCATATATAGTGCCATTATAGAGCTCATAGTGTATTTTTAGAGTGGCTGGTACTTCATGCTATTGACAGGCTCCAACATCAATCTCATAGGGAAATTGATTAGGAAACATTGGAATCAGGCATGGTAGCACACACCTTTAATCCCAACATGTGGGAGGCAGAGGTAGAGGCAGATGGGTCCTTCTTAATTTCAAGCCAGTTTGATTTCCACAGCAACTTCCAGACTATCCAAGGCTGCATAAAACTTTGTCTAAAAAACTAAAATACAGCCGGGCGGTGGTGGCGGACACCTTTAATCCCAGCACTTGGGAGACAGAGGCAGGCGGATTTCTGAATTCGAGAGTTCGAGGCTAGCCTGGTCTACAGAGTGAGTTCTAGGACAGCCAGGGCTACACAGAGAAACCCTGTCTCGAAAAACCAAGCAACAAAAAACAAAAACAAAACAAAAACAAAAAAAAAACCAAACAAACAAAGAAAACCTAAAATACAACATCAGGTTCCAACATTCCTTTATAACTTATATTATTCTGTAAAACTATGAAAGTAACTAAAATGAAAAACAGCAAGAATATCAAGAATAGAATACCAAGCATAGAAAGAGAATGAGTTATTCCCTGGGGGTTAGTACAAACATAAAATGCATAAGCAGTACCACATGGTGGTGCACATCTGTAATCCCAGCACTAGAGAGGCTAGTGGAGGAGGACTGTGAATGTAGGGCTAGCCTGGCCTACAGACTAACACTGCCCCAACCAAAACAAAATACCCATCTGTGCTAGAAAATACTGAAAGTGGACTTGCAAAGGCTCAGCATTTATCACAGGAATCAAGACTCATTTTCAGACATGAAAAGCCCCAAACTAGAAAGTACAGAGAATCCTCCAATGGATGTGTAATGAAATAATTGTTTAATAAATAAAATATTTCCCATTACTATAAAGGGACAGAGAACAATGAGGTGGTACAGCAGGTGACAGTGCTTGCCACACAAACCTGATACCCTGAGTTTCATCCCAAGATCCCACTGTGGAAATAGAGAACCAATTCCTGAAAGTAGTCCTCTAACCCATATGCATACTGTGGCACAAGTGCCCCAACTTATACACACACAGCATACACACATTACTGGATAAAAGCTAAGAAACAAATCATGCTAATGCCTACAGCCACTAGGATGCAATGATGGCTCCTTCTGACTGAAGAGGGCTATTTTCCAAAGGAAATATACTGCACAATCTCTTCTAGGAAGCATTTCTCATGCAACAGTCATAAAATCAAAAGCAAATGTAGCTCATAGCTAACACTTGTAATCCCAGCATCTGGAAGACTGAGACAGGAGAACCACTACAAGTTCAAGTTCATCCTCGAATCATGTGATTCTAGGATGCCCAAGAAGGCTATGCTACAAAGTAAGTCTGTCTCATTCACTTTGTCCTCTCATGGAAGAGAGGGAGGGAGGGAGAAAGGTTAAGGATAAGAAAGGCATGCATGACAACATAAAGGAATCTTAAGGTGAACTAAACAATCAGCTCTGATTGTCATACCAGTTACAAAGGGCTATATTTACAAGGAGTAAAAAACTTCATAGAAACACACACACACAATCATATATACGCCCATCCATGTTTAACTAGTAATATCTGAAATATATATATTGGTGTTTTCGAGACAGGGTTTCTCTGTATAGCCCTGGATGTTCTGGAACTCTGTAGACCAGGCTGGCCTTGAACTCAGAAATCCGCCTGCCTCTGCCTCCCAAGTGCTGGGATTACAGGCGTGCACCACCACTGCCCGGCCCTTAAGGCGATATTCTAATGTTATACTATACATATGCATGATGCTGGCAAGTGAAGGCTAAAGAAAAAGGTTCATCAGACTCCTCTGAACATCTTTGCAATCTTCTATGAGTCTATGATTACTTTAAGTTTTAAAAAAGCCAGGCCTGGGGCTTGGCATTCACACTGCTCCTCCACCACCACCACCCCCCCTCTCTCTCTCTCTCTCACACACACACACACACACACACACACACACACACACACACACACTAAATGAAAAATTTAAAACATATAAAAGTATTGGCCACAAATGGTGCACACCTTTAATCCATGTACTTGGGAGGCAATCTCTGTGAGTTTGAGGCCAGCCTGGTCTACACAAGTGAACTGCAGGTCAGGCAAAGCTACAGAGAAAAAGAGAGAGCAAAAGGGAGGAAGAGAGAGAGAGAGAAGGAGGGAAGGAGACAAGAGAATTCGTCAAAAAAAAAGTTAACAATATAAATTAAAATCATAATGAGACAAACTTTAAAGACTGTACTTGGAGTAAGAAAACTTTCAAAACCAAGACAATTTAAGATGCTTGAAAAGAAATTTGATTTTTTTAAGACACACTAAAATTACCTCTCTATTGAGTTAATTAATTACTACTTACATTCCAACCAGTAGGAACAGTGTAAACAATGAAGAGGAAAAAATTAAATTTAATAATATGCATGTGTAAATGTAAGACATATACAATCGTGTCCAAAAGGGTAAGTGAAATCAGGAGTTTCAGGTTTTGTGTTTTTATATTCTCTTGGAGCAAAATGATCATCTTTATTTTGTCGACTAAAAATAGTTCCTATGAACACACTAAAAGTAAAAATAGGATACTTCTTGTAATCAGTGAGGTCCTACAATTCATTCATCAGTAAATTTATATGTAGTAGTACAGTGCTATAGCTCACTTGCATGGTACACTTTACCCACAGGAGGTCCTGGGTTCAATCCCCAGCATCCCCTAAAACCAAAGTGAATTTCAGAATATACTTAAAAAATTATTTTTTAAGTACACAGTATACTGTGTAGAGGGGCCTGCCATACAAAAGCATTTCCCAGGTACTACTCGGTAAAGAGAGCAGCCAGTGCCTTCTTCCCTTTGCTTTGTGTTAAAAAGGAAAAAGCCTTTATAACCTTCTTTCTGAGGAGTGGGTCTCTGGTTTTTAATTTTCCCTGAATGTACTGCTTCACTTGTTACTAACATTTGAGGATAAGTTCTAACTTTCTATATTGGCCTATATTGAAAGACTCAACATGCTCATTCCTTGGTCTTTGGAGGTAAAAAGAGGACTAAATTGAAACGGTTCATATTATTCATGTTGAGCATTACTTACCTAAAAAGTTCAATTTTACTTATCTGTATGTGTGTTTGTCTTTTGAATGTATGGAATGTGTGTACAGGTACCTGTAGAGACCGAATGAGGCTGTCGGATTCTCAGAGCTGGAGTTAAAGGCAGTTAATTAGTGTCTCTGGAAGAGTAGTAAACAATCGAGCTGCTGACCTATCTCTTTAGTATCTCCCTAAAAGTTGACAAATGTTAAAATTTATTTTTAATTACGTGTACATGTGTATGGGTGTATGCATGTTTGTGCAGGGGCCTAGGACAGCCACAGACAGAAGCTGGAATTACAGGTGTTTGTGAACAATCCAACAGATACTGAGAATGAAACTTTAGTACTTTGCAAGAGGAGTATTGGACCCTTAACTTTTGACCCATCTCTCAGACCGAAAAGTTGAGTTTTAAGGTTAAAAATAAAAACAAAACAAAACCTGTGTTTTTAATTTTCTAAGATAAACTTTACTCTTAAAATGTTAAACGAGAAACAAATTTTTGGTGTAGCTGAGTGAATTTTTTAGCATATGGATAATTTCAAAGTACTACCGTAGGGTGACCCCTCAATGGTCACCTAACTTTTCCCCACATAACTGAACTGAAGGCAATAATTTATTATGATTCTTATTCTGTTTGTGCACATGTACAGGCACACATGTCACAGAGCACATGTGAAGATCAGAGGAAAACTTTTAAGAGTAAGTTCTCTTCTTCCACTGTGGGTTTCAGGAATTGAAACCAGGTCATAGGCTTGAGGTGTAAGCACTTTTCATGTGCTGAGCTATCTCCCAGTGTAACACTTTAGGCCTCACATGAATGCTAAATGATGCATTCCAGTCAATATTAGAAAAACAAAACAAAAGAATAATTTACCTATTGGGCTTGCTTAAATTCTAAAAAGCCTTTGTTACACAAAAAGTTAATGAGGACTACAAGACAAATTTATCATTAGGAGATATTGGTCTGCTTCCTTCCTTATTCAAAACGATTATCTTATATGTAGTGCTTTACAAATACATATATAATTTAGATTCATTATGGTTTTTTCCTAATAAATATACCCTCTTTTCCCTGATTGACTCCCATATATGCATACTTATTATAAGGTGGCTCAGCAATTAAGAGTACTGGCTCTTCTTCCTGAGGACCCATGTTTAGTTCCCAGAAGTCACATGGTGGCTCAGCCTAGGTCAGTTAAAAAAATTAAAACTTTAACTTATCATTTTTAAGAATCAGGTATTCTAAAAGTGGATGATGCTTTCAGATAGTTGAGAATCACAATTTTACATTTGTCCCATTTTTTTTTTAAAGCCTCATCCAATCAGCACCTAGTTAGATATTAAGGTTTTCCTTGAGGCTTTCTCTAACTTCTTACTAACTATAGGTAAAATATCAGATTAAAAACTACAAACACACACACACACACACACACACAAAGCCAGGCGGTGGTGGGGCACGCCTTTAATCCCAGCACTTGGGAGGCAGAGAGAGGCAGATTTCTGAGTTCCAGGCCAGCCTGGTCTACAGAGTGAATTCAAGGACAGCCAGGGCTACACAGAAAAACCCTGTCTCGAAAAAAACAAAAACAAACAAACAAATAAAACCTACAAACAGCTAACTCCAAGTCTATCTATCTTTAAGTAGCCTCTTGACAGCAGTCTTTTCATCATAGAAAAGGAAGAAACAGTTCCATTATCCTTCTGTCCTGTTCATTATTTATTCCTTGCTGATTAAGGGTCTCTTTGCCTCTGGAGGTTCATGGAAAATAAATGGAATAAGAGAAAAGGTTCAGAACTGTTATGAAGCTATGAAAAAGCCAGTCAATATAACCAAGGTTTGGTGTCCTCGAGATTTTATCTTATCCCATCATTCCTGTTCTCAATTTGCTGTCTATGGAGTACTGATTTCTAAATGCTGTTCTTCCTCAGTATACTCTTTCTGTAGTATCTGTAATTAATTACAGAATTAAAATGTTTTTAAAAGGTTTGCTTACTTTTATGTGTATTAGTATTTTTCCTGGATGTAAGTAAATGCACTCGGCATTCCTGGTGTCTGTGGAGGCCAGAAGAGGGTACTAAATCCACTATAGTAACTATAGTAAAGCTATAGTTATAGAGGCTTGTAGTCACCGTATGGGTGCTGGCAACCAAGCTCAAGACCTCTGAAAGAGCAACAAGATCTCTTATCAGCAGAGCAATCTCTCAAGCCCTTGCCTGTTTTCGTTTCAAGTTATGGTTTCCAATACACAGATTTTCTAGATTGTGTTTTTATCTTCTCTTTAACTACCTAGGTAACAATATTTTCTTCTTATGATTCCACATTCTTTAAATTCCTCAAAACCACTAGGTAGTTAAACTGGGCATCGTAGTGTACATAATTAACTACATGGATCCTTAGGGGATGGATATCTAAGACCAGTTTAGACTCCTGTTGAAAACTAAGGGCTAGACAAAGGTCAATAAAAGATTCCAAGCACTGAGAGAGGAAAAAAGGAAAAACTCCCACAGGTTAATGGGATTGAGACTTAGCACAGTCGAAAATGGCTTCCCTTTTATGTAGGAGCGCTGGGTAAATTTCCCAGAACAAGGAACACACAAACAGAAACAGAATACACCGAATATAGTTACATTATTACCAAAGTACAGAAACCTCAAAACTAGTAATGTGGTATGTGTAAGCATTAAAATTAAAAACTAACCCAAAATGTTTGAAATTAAATCAAAAGTCTACTATGGATAGAAAAAACTTAGAGTAAGCTATTTTAGAATCTTCTGCTGAGTTCGAGGCCAGCCTGGTCTACAGGATGGCCAGGGCTACACAGAGAAACCCTGTCTCGAAAAGCCAAAAAAAAAAAGAATCTTCTGGAGAACAAAGTTCAAATTTCAGTTATACCAAATAATAATAATAACAGTAATTTTTAAAAAATTAAAATAAATGAAAATGAAAAAGCAAGAAAAAAAAATCACACCAGCTTACATAAAGGTTCAACCAATAAGAAAGTCAATTGTTATCTCTACCATGGTCAATGGCCAGCTATTCTGGGCCTCTGCAAGGTTCATCTCTGCTGTTCCTAGTTGGCACAGATAGTCTTTATTTGCAGGAAGCCCTTAGAATCCTGACAGTCAATTCCAGAGTGCTTCTATTAACTACCCTTCCCGTTCAGCAGATGGCTAAATGGGGACTTGTTAAATAAAGGTGGAAAAAGATTGGAAAGCAAAAAACTAGAAATCTCAGTTCACCAAAACACAAAAGAAAAAGGTGAACCATGTCACCTATATTTTTAAAATTTATACTTATGTGTCAGTCAAATGTCCATGGATCTTGAACTCCGAATTGTTATTCTATTGGTTGCTTTTCCCTGTTTACTAAAGAGTACTGATCAATATGACTGTGTTAATGGGCTGGCATGAAGAATACATGAAAGAAGCACACTTTAATAAAACAGAAAACATACTTAGGTACCTATCTTATAAATTCCCAGTAAAATTTAAAAAGCCAGCTGTAGTGGCACCTGGTTGTAATATCACTCAGAAGGGTGAGGCAGCTCTGAGTCTCAAGTTGGATACATAGAGCCTTTTAAAAATCCTGGAAACAGGGCTGTAGAGATGGCTCAGCGGTTAAGAGCACCGACTGCTCTTTCAGAGGTCCTGAGTTCAATTCCCAGCAAATACAAGGTGGCTCATCCGATGTACTCTTCTGGCGTGTGTCTGAAGACATCTACAGTGTACTCATATAAATGAAAATAACTAAATCTTTTTTAAAAATCTGTAATTAGAATTAAGAAATAAACAGGACAAATGTCACACTTTCTCTCCGTGTGTGTGTGTGTGTGTGTGTGTATAAACTGTTTAAAGGAAGGGGACTAGGAGGGAGGCAGAGAGAACAAGGCTGTGTTATGGAAGTGATTTTGAGCAAAGTGGGAAACCTCATAATGGAATCCAGTATTGTGTTAATTTGAAAGGGAAATGAAGTAAAATATCTTGTGCATCATTAAAAGTAAAAAAATATATGCAAGCAAATGAGAGCTCCCATCTAATGGTTCGTCAAAAGCATTCATAAACATAAAATAAACTTAACAGTATAATAGTTTAAGTACACTACCTGAAAGGGTAACGATTCCCCTGGGTTGAGGCTGAAACCGCAAATATTTGTTACAAAAGTCAGCAGATTCAAGAGCCAAAAACAAAACATTGCCCAAAAAGTAGCCAGCTGTTTGGCCCACAGAATTGCATGTCGAAGCATAGCCCACGTTTTCCCGGGATAACATAGTTAATGCCCAACCGTCCACAGCGATGTCCTGTGTGGCAGCCAGGAATTCAAACAAAAAGAAAGTCACAGTGAGAGCAACCACATCCGGTGTTCTGCCATCAATATTTCCGAGCAAATGGTCCACTTGAGTGGATAAATATATCATGAAGATTCCTAATGTATACTGAGTAGGGACAAGCCAGGACTTGCGACGACCGAAGTTCTTAAAGTAGACGGAATCTACCAAGGGAGCCCAGAGCAACTTAAGACTGAATGGCCAGAAGACAAAACTGAAGAAAGCCTGATCTGTATAGCTAACATTTTTGCTCTGCAAAATGAGTGGGATGCTTCCCGCCAGGCCTAAGGGAATGCCCTGAAGCACGTAAAGGAATAGTAGTAACAAAATGCTACTTAGTTCGGCTTTATAGCTCCGCGGGGCTTTTGGGAAGTCACCAGGGCCGGCATCCTCTAGAAGAACTTCCCGGTCCCCTTCCCCGCCCACCGAGTCTCGGCGACTGTCATCCCAGCCGCCCGGTGGCAGCGGGCCACTCTTCATATCCAGAGCGTGGCTGAACATGCCTGGCCGCCGTTGCCGACTGCTGTCCTTGTGGGAGATGGTCGGTGACATATCAGAGACGACGCAGAGCCCGGTGTCTGGAAGCTTGAGGCTGTCGTTTTAGATCAGTTTAGTCCCAGGTCCAAGGCAGCCTTTCTGGACCAGCGTCTCGGTAGTTTAACGCCGGGAGAGAGGACGCGGAGAGACTAGTCGCTGTTTTGTAGCAGGGAGCCAGATCCCCGGCCGGTGGCCCAGGCGAAGCCTGGGTCGCTACCCACAGGAGCGACTTCAGGGAGCCGGGAAGAGCTCCTCGTACAGCCGCACCGGGCTCGAGGCTGGCGGAGCGTGCCGTGGCGCTGCGATGGAGTCTGGCTCTTAACTGCAGCGGGACTCGAACGGCCGCCCGCCCACCTGCCACTAGATCTCCGCTGACACTGCAGCGGGAACTCTCCTCAGCAAACACCAGAGGTAAAGGATAACTTCCTGCCTCGCGCTTAGGGAAGTGGTTCCCGGCCAAAATGGGTTCCGTGCCTCTCGACGAAGCCAGCGAATCAGAACAAGCTCCGGTGGCGACGACCGCAAATAACGTTTGCTAGGAACCATTAGTTCCCTCGATTCTGACCCCGAGGGAGGAATAACACCAGCGTACCGAGCATCCAGGAGGGAGCGTCTTAACTACCCGTGTTCCGTTTGCGCATGCGCCTGCCTGGAACTCGTGTGTCTTGGCCATTGGGCCCTCGTCGGCACGTGAGCGCGGGTCTTCTGGACTGGCCTAAGCCTTGGTAATAATATTGCGCATGGTCAGAGGCCGCAGTGTCTTCAGGAGTTTGTACCTATTTAATTCAGTACATAACTTCCTGGCTTGCCGTTGAGTAATGCTGCTGCTTTGTGAACCTGCCTGAAAGGTTACTAAGCTTTGGTGTCAGGATGTGAGTCTTTTGTGCCCGACTCAATGGAAACACTGATACTTAATACACAGAACGTATAAGGCTGTCCATTTTTCCCAATGTGAAGGAAGAAACGTAGGGGAACGCTAGATACACAGAGTGAAGGAGGTAAATTTCAATCCGCTGCATCTTATTTTTATCCCAATGGAAACTTCTTGAAACCACCTTTCTTGTCATCCATGGTTATGCATTTTAAGTGACTTAACTTCTTTGGGTTTTGGTGAATTTTTGGAAGCTCTTGGAGTATTTCAGTGATACCAAAGAAATAAGTTTTCCAAAAATTTTATTGAATCTGTAATTGGCCAGTTTTCAAACGCCATTACAAATGTACGTGCTTTCTTCATTTAAAAAAAATGCTTTAAATTCCCTTGTGCATTTGCTGCCTTTGCATTTTCCTTCTTTCTACAGCTTATTAACCACTTAGCTTACTCCCCATATTTTCTTCTCGTTCTCCCTGTCTCCTTCCTTTTCCTCCCTCCCCCTTCACCTGTGTGTGGGGGAGAGGAGGTGGGAGTGGGGAGAATGAATGTGTACATGAGCATAGGGTATCTACAGAGACCAGAAAACAAGAGTACTTTGAAGCTGGAGTTAGGTTGGTGAGCAAGCAGTAAGCACTCTCTCCAGCTCTTGCATGTGGACGGGAATTTGAGACTTTGCTTATTATTGTTTTTTTGTTTTTCATTTTCATTGTATTGATATTGGGTCCTGGGTTATACACACTAGCATATGTACCCAGGCTGGTCTCAAACTTTATGGCCATACTCCTGCCTTACCTTCAAGAGTGAGTCCTAGGATTTTATAAATGAGCCACCATACCTAGTTTAATGTATTTAAATAAAAGAAAACAGTGACCATGAAGTCTTCTAATCTTTGTTAAAGAGAAGAACAGAATTGGTTGGGGTGGTGCATGCTTGTAATCCAGACTAGACTATAAGCAAAGTTCCTGGCCATCCATGGCTATATAGCAAGACCCTGTCTCAAAAATTGGAGCAGAAATCAGGTTATAGTGTTATCTAAGTGAGATCAAAAGTCTCAATTTATTTTTCTTATTTTTGCAACAGAGTCTTACTATATGGTCCTATCTGGCTTGAAACTCACCTTGTAGACCAGGCTGTACTTGATCTCACAGAGATCCACCTGCCTCTGACTCCTAAGTGCTGAAATTAAGGGATGGACTGTCTTGCCTGGCCCTCCTTTTTGTTTCTGCTTTTTTAGAGAGGGGATCTCATGTAGCCTATGGCAGCCTTGAGCTTGATATGTACTTATTAGGATGGTTTTGGACTCTTGTTGTTCCTCCTTCCACTTCTTAAATCCTAGCATTACAAGTATGTATTGTCTTTGCTGTAAAAGTCAATTTCAATGAATACAGAGTAAAGTTTATCACAGCCATTTTAACATTGTAAAGCTTTTAGGAAGTATCCTACAAGACTGTGTTGGTTGGAATAAAAATGGCCCCCATGGGCTAAAATATATGAATACTTAGTCATCAAGAAGTGGCACTAGTGCCAGGCAGTAGTGGCGCACGCCTTTAGTCCTAGCACTTGGGAAGCAGAGACAGGTGGATTTCTGAGTTCAAGGCCAGCCTGGTCTACAGAGTGAATTCCAGGACAGCCATGGCTACACAGAGAAACCCTCTCTCGAAAAACCAAGAAACCAAAAGAAGAAGAAGAAGAAGAGGAGGAGGAGGAGGAGGAGGAGGAGGAGGAGGAGGAGGAGGAGATACTACTTAGGATTAGGAAGTATGGCCTTGTTGGGGTAGCTGTTACCTTGTTGGAGGAAGTGTGTTACTGGGGGTAAGTTTTGAGGTTCCAGAAACAAAACCCAAGGCAAGCCCAAGTAGCTCTCTCTCTCTCTCTTTCAATCTCTCTCTCTCTCTCTCTCTCTCTCTCTCTCCCTCCCTCTCTCCCTCTCTCTCTCTCTCTCTCTCTTCCTGCTGCCTGTGGATCTGGATGTAGAACTCTCAGCTCCTTCTTCAGCACCACGTCTTCCTGTGTGCCACCATGCTACCTGCCATGATGATAATGGACTAAAGTTCTGATATGGTAAGTAAGCCCAAGTAAATGCTTCCTGTTATAAGAGTTGCTGTAATCATCATGCGTCTTCACAGTAATAGAACATTGGCTAAGACAAAAGGTATGAAATCAGTAGGGTTTTTCGTTTCTATATTTGAGAAAAAAATAATAACTTTGCATTTCTATTTGGTTTCTCCCCCCTTCACTTTGAGATTGAACCTTAAGCCCCACATATACTAGGCAAGAGTTATACCACTGAGATAAACCCAGACCTTTTATATGAGTGTTCCAATTTTGGGGGGGGTTACATTTGTGTGTGAATGTACACATGAATGGATGTACATATGAAGACCAGAAGACAACCTTGGGTGTTATTCCTCAGGTGCTGCCAATTCCCATCCCCATTTGGAGACAATATGGAATTCACCAAGTAGGAATTCACCAAATAGGCAAGCAATTTCATTAAGTTTTGTAACAAGTTAGAGTAACTTTAATGCTAGAAACATAGGAAGTAGACACCTATAAAGTAGCATCTAAACTAATAATTGCTAGCCTTATTTAGATCTCACTTTTGAACATGTATGTGTACTCATTCATGTGCACACGTGTGTGTGTGTGTGTGTTCTGTGTTAAACTTAAGTGCTATTGCTGTTTGGTATCATATCTTTACAGTTGTACCAAACTCCCTCCTCCTCATTCTCTGCAGTTTCTAATATTTTTCCTGATTATATGTATGTCATTTGAAGAAGTGTATGAGTAGACTCATATAATATGTGACCTTTGGAATTAGGTCTAACCCTACCCTCCAGAGTTAGTGTCCTTGAAATAGAAATAAGATGTTTATAGATCAATCTCAGTAGATACTATATTTGTTCTTTTTTATTATGTAAGGTCATTGATTTTATGATTACAGCATCAGTGTAGTTTTGAGAGAAATTCTAATTATATAGTCCAGACTGACCGCCCAAGTGTTAGGATCAAACAAGCAAATGAATTTATTCTAACTTTTTTCCTAATTCTTTGAAAATACCTTACGTGTATACAAATTCTTCCTCTCAATTTCCCCACTATAGCTCCCTCCAACTTTTATATCTTCTGTTTCTTCTTCATTTTAGAGCTTACTGAGTCCAGTTAGTGGTTACCTGCATGTAGGTGTCTTTGAGGCTCACCACTGGACCATGGGGAACCTACCAGCAGCCACACACTCAAAGAAAAATGACTCCTCTCCCAGCAATCAACAGTTGTCAACAGCTTCTGAGTTAGGGGTAGAGCCTTCTAAGCCCTTCTCTCATCAGTGTTGTAATATTGACTGGATTGATCTTGTTCAGGTAATCATAGGTCCTGTGAGTTCATGAGTGCAATGACCATGTAATGTCTAGAGGAGTATTACACAGCACTTCTCCCCAGCTTCCAATTATCAGATTGTACTTTGAGTCTTGGTGGGGTGGCAGGGAATGTTTAGTGTAAATGTCTCAGGGCTGAGCACTCAGCCATCACTTATTTTCAGCATTTTGGTCAGTGGAGTCATTGTGTGGGCTGTTGTCCACTGCAGACAGATGGTTCTGTGACACAGTTGAAAGCAGCACTAATATGTGGGTATAATATGAGAGCAGTTTGACATTTCACAAAACAACAATGGTAAGTTTCCCATCCCAGAACCTCTGATCTCCTGGGATGGGCTTTTTAGGAGGCTTACAATAGTAGACATGAATTCCCTCATAGGATCAGCCAGAAAATCTAATCAATAAGTAGTTTTATTAGCCTATTTATTTAATTTTTAATTTAAAAACATGTTTTTTGACTAGACACTATTTATTTATTTTTGGAAAGGGCCTCATATAGCCCAGGCTAGCCTCAATCTCACTACAGGCTGGCTTTTAAAGAATTTCTTCTGAATATTATTCCTTAGCTATAGTACTAATTTTTCTTTAGTGTCTGTGTTGTAGGAATCTTTCTGGAATAAGCACTCCAACATCATTGAGAATGGAATAAAGTTGCCACCAAAGCCAGGATAGTTCCAGAAAGCCCTAAGTATAGGGCCTAGTTTGTATCCTCATTTTATATCCTAAAACTACAAGGAGAGGTAAACAAGCAATCAAGGTTTTACAGAAGCCTGCTTGGCAGTCAGCTTTTTATTTCTTAAAGACATATATTATAGTTGATAGATGTAAGCTTTTGTGATCAGGTTGTTAAAGGGAATGACCTATTGTGCTTTAGGTATTTCTCCAAGGTCAGTCTGTTCCGGGTAGCAGTGTGAAGTTGTGCTGGGAAATGAGCAGTACCAGCAGAGCTAATAATTGCTCTTATTTCACGTCACTTAATTTATCAATCAACTGGATGCTAAATTTCTGTATCCAACTAAACAAAAATACAAAGAACAAGAGAAAACTAATAGTTGAAAATTTTAGGGGAAAGTCTTGTATCCAACTCAGTTTTTTTGTATGTATATAATTTTTATTTTAAATGAATAGTGATAATACAAAACAAACAAGAACAAAACAACCTTTTAACTAAAAGAAAGCTTACAGCCAGATATGGTGACACGCATGTTGTAATTACAGTACCAAAGAGTCCAAGGCAAGAGATTCACAATTATAGACCAGCCTGAGAGACTTTGTGAGTTCTGAGATGTCCCATCACAGAGTCTCTTTTATAAAGGCATTATT